TTAATCCTACGGCCAAAATTTTTTGAAATTAGGCTATGACTTTTCAAGGACCCAGACACCAAATATGTGGACACCAGTGTATATGGCTGATTTTTAACCAAACATATCGATCAGTCAGTGTTTTCTAGTATTGAAATTCTGGTTAACAGCATTCTTTTGTGCCTAAAATGGGTGAAATTATGTAAATACTTTCCTTAGCCCCCATATACCTAATAGAAATCATTTCGAATTAGTAATTATAGTGTATCTTCTTACCTGTAACGGTAAATAATGGATGCAATACTTCCTACTTTTATAATACAATATAATATAAACGAAAATCACGTATATCACTTTACCTTGAGAGAGTATAAAATATTCGGTTGCACCTGAACTTAGAGCTTCCTTACTTGTTTTTTAATGCATAGCCCCTATATTCCAAAATAAATTCCATAAACCATTTATATTGAAATCCGTTTACCTAAGCTGAAAAAATTTAAAGTACAGGGCAAAATATGATACACTTGAATATATCTGGAGCGATCATTAATAAGATTTTGCAAAATAAAACAGTTGGGTGTTTTCCACAAGCGCAAGTAAGGCGGTAAGGACTGGTAGCTGGGTTTATATTAAGTAACACATAAATCACTCAAGCATTGAATGCCGTAGTCAGAAACTTCACTCAGATTTTAATTTCCTTTTAATTATACTAATTAACAATTTGGCAAACTTTTGCTCCCATATCTGCATAAGTACAAGTACATATGTATATACTTGTATAGAAAGATATTCAAATACTTCTGACACTCAGTCTCAGTCTTATAAAATATTCTCTCCAGCTTTTTGTCAGAGTTATGAAGAGATTATAATAACGGATATATATATAAATACACAAATGTTGTCTCGTTAGTGTCATGCACACATCCTATTACAATGTAGCATTCAAACAATTTGCGACAAAGCCTCTAAGTACAGTCATTCCCTCATGTAAACTCTCCACGCGTGAGTGCCTACCGCGCTTTAATAGCTCACTGCATCATTTTAATGATGATTTCAGAAAATTAACAAACCTTAGCGCTTAGATACATAAGTACTTTGTATAATGGCACAAATGTTGAATAGATACAGCAAGAATGATATATATTAGTAAATATTGTGTAATTATTAACGATAGATTTTGTTCTTCAATATGTTCACTTATGTAACCCAGGGAATAATTATAGTATCGATATAATAACGATAGATATATTGATATGATTTCAACATTTAGTTTATAAATATACTCTCGCAACATGTTCCAAAATGGAGGATAATAAGTTTGCTCACCTAAACGTTGTTTGTAACTCTTAAAACGAACAGAGGTAGATATAGAGTTGTAAGTATTGGTATAAATGATCAGGATGACAAGACGAATACCAAGAAACTGTCTGTCACTAATTTGAGATGCGGGTAAGGGGGAGTAGGGTTTAATCGTGCAAAAACAGGCAAGTTTTTGAGAATTTTTTTATGACGACACAGCTAAAATCTCTTTGTTAAAACCAATGATACATTAAAGTATGATATTCGAATAATGTTATGTAGAATTTTTACGTAGAAATATGAAATTGCTAATGTAATGTACTGTTGTGTGGTACGAAATATATTTTTTTATTCAATATAATCTCCCTTAACTTTAATACACTCATTCCAATAATCCTCCAATAATTTTATGTCATCCCTATAATGACTTTGCAGATGCTCTGCAAAATACCCGTCTACGGCTGTAATAGCTTCTTCATTCGACGAAAAACGCTTTTCACGAAGGAAATGTTTTCAGGTTTCTGAAGAGGTACTAGTCGCTGGAAGCCAACTCTGGTGAATACGGTGAATGCTCAAGCAATTTTTAAAACACCTTTGTGAGCAGGTGCATTGTCTAGATTGCGATTTTATTGTGCTACAAACCAGGTCTTTTCTCACGAATTTTTTCATCCAACCAAATCCAAAAGGCTGCAATAATATTCAGAGTTTATATTTTTACCTTTCTGCAGATAATCAATCAACGAAATTCCTTTTGCATCCCAAAAAACTGATATTTGCTGATCGTTGTGACTTCACCTGCTTTGGAGCTGAATAACCAGCTTCAGTCAACTGTAAGCTTTCTTATTTCAATTTAGGATAATGGTGGTAGATCCAAGTCTCATCCATATATATATAAAATATTATTTCGATCAATTTTTTGTTGAATTGTTAACGTGTGCGACACTAACTTTCTAAACAGCTTTTTCATATGTAATTCTCCATGTAAGATATGAAGTACTCGTTCGTCTGAGATGCCTATGGCATTAGCGATTTCAAGCTTAGTCAAACATGGATCTTCACTAACAATATTATGAACTTGCTCAATGATTTCTGGTGTGGTTGAGGTTTTTGGTCGTTCTTCGTTCCTTCAAGCCTAGTACGACAACGTTTAAATTCACCAGCCCAAATTTCAACGGTACATTTTGAAGGATACATTTCTAACAATTGTTCATACATTTTCTTTGCTTTTAAACCTTTCAAAACAATGGCTCGGAAACCAGAAATTAATTGACAGAATGACTTGTAACTTTGCATGTGTTATCACGACAGATTTACCAACTTGAAAAAAAAAGTTTGGAGCTAGTAGTCCTGTACCTTGGTAAGAGCAGAAGCTTTTCAACCAACCTGTATGTCGGTTAATGTGTGAAGTATCTTCATAAGCTTGCGTGGAAACAAGTTCTCCCGTATACTAAGGTAAAATCAAACGTTAATACAATCAGTCCAGACCTTCCTTAGCCCCATTATACGCCGATATAGCGATTCCCGATTTTTCAACTGACTTAAAACCCTTTTACTTGGTTAATATGATCTATATATAATCTGATTGGCGCTGATAACAACGAAATTGGTGTAGACCTTAGTCTAAATTTTCTTTGGTTTTCCTATCCGCCCCATATTTTAAATTTAGCCCATTTAAGTTGAAGCTGAATATCGAAAACGAAGCAAAATAAAGTGATGAATCTAAGTAAGTTTACGTCCTATGAGTTAATTGACACCGAATATAATTGTAATCCGATCAAGATTTGGTCGAACAATAAAGGTTGAATTCTTTATTAACATATTTTAATTGAATTATAAAATTCTGGTGTCACGGTGTTTGTAGCCAACCTCCTCCGAAACGGGTGAACCGATTTTGATGAAATTTGATGTACTTATCGGGTAGGTCTGAGTTAAGGGTTACTATTTTTTATTTTATTGGACAAAATTTTTTGCTTTTATTGTTTCACGATTCAGCATTAAAAAGATACATGCAATTAAAAATTTTCATACTCGCGACATTTATATTATTCTGTTCCATACACACATCCACAAGATAGTAATCAAATATAATATTATTTAATATGCCCATTAGGTGTCTCCCGTTGTCACTTCTCAACCAGCAAATATAGTGTATTTAACATTAAATTTTTGTGCATCTCGAAAACGGCAAACGTGTGTGCACAGGCAATCCAAGGCAGACTGAGTGCTTTTATTTGCGACTGTTGTTGTTTAATGCCACCAAACCATTGTCATTTTAAGATATACGTTAATAATAAACAACAGTATAACACAATCATTAGAACTGTTTGCTTGCTGAAGCAGCATTAAAATACACAGGAATACAAACTAAAATTTTTTTTGGCACAAATGCATGCTGTCTAAACCTCACAGATTGACCGATATGTTCGGTACAAAATCAGCCAAATGCAATAGGGTCGAGATATCTTGTGCATGGGTCCGTTAAAAGCTGTAGTCCGATTTCGACATTTGTTGGGCGACCGTTAAACACCTAAAGGACACTACTTTTGCAAAGTTTTTTCACGATATATTCATTGGTGTTTAATTTGCACGCTGAAAAGTTAAAGAATCAGATTGAATTTAAAGTTGTGATGTATGGGAAGTAAGCTTGGTTGTCATCCGATTTCGCAAACGTTTTCAATTAAAGGGGCGGTGCCCATTGTTCAATTTTTACACCTGAACCTACAAAACCACTCTCTACCATCTTGGTTGTTGAATTTAATGCTTCTGACGCATTTGTTTAGTGAGTTATCGTACTTTTAGTAGTTTTCAATATAACCGTTATATGGGTTATTTTATGAAGAAATGCTAAAAAGACGTCTTCCCAGCAAGTTTGGTTGATTTAGCTTTAGCGGTTTGGGAGATATATGTATATGTACATTAAACATAGGTATAAGGGAGCGGGATAGCCCCAAACATATAATATAAGATAGCGGTATGGCCCCCACTTTTAAAAATAATTTAGCCAACAGATTTACAGATCTGGAATTTTGCACACTTCCGTTTCTTTCCAAGAAGCTTTGTCGGAACCTCCGATATCAGACCACTATAGCATATAGTTGCCATACAAACTGAACGTTCGGAATCAAGAGTTTGAATGGACAGCTTTTTCATTTGAAGAAATATCTTCACGAAATTTGTCCCGGATTATTTTCTAAGGCAATAGTAACAATCTCCGAAGAAATTTTTTATATCGGATTACTGTAGCACATAGCTGCCATACAAACTAAACGATCGAAATCAAGTGTTTATGTAGACAATTTTTTCATTTAAGGATAGTTTGGATGGATTTTTGTCTAAGGCAGTGGTGCAATCTCCCAAGAAATTGTTCAGGCTTCCGCTAATCATCATCTCGTCAACCTCATGATTTTGATATATCTATCTCTAGAAATTCGACTAAAGTTGAGAAATGCATTGCGACTGTGTTATTGAGCCTAAATCTATATGTACAAGTATATATACACCGATTGTATTAAGGTGTTACAAACACCCGTGGGGTGTGCTAACTATTGTATTTTGTTTCTGTCTCTGTAATGACATAAGTCTGAGATTACATGTTACCTGAGGATTTAATTTAATAGTACCTGCATATTTGAAGTTATCAGAAACCTCAATAGTTTCTATGTGTTCCTTCATTAGCTCGGCATTTACCTTTCAGTGTTTATAATGAATTTTCACCATTCCAGCAAATAAACTCAGCACAATGCGGTTCAACATTGTGATGGCGCGGCGACACCATCACTGTCTCCTATTGCTTTTACTTCTCACGCAAGCGTTCCTAACCTGCTCGGCGCTACCCGCCCCATCAAATACGCTTGCATCACAAACTGGCGCTGGATTAAGCTCCACTAGCGGCAACAACAATGCTAGTGGCAACAGTGCCGTTAGCAATAGTAATATAAATAGCAATAGCAACAACAATTTCGTAGGAAATCCCAATGTGAGCATAAATAGTGGCAGCAATATTGCGAGCAACGGCAATGTTAGCGGCAACTCTATAAGCAGTAGCGGCAGCAGCGGCCTAGGCGTCGGCCCAGGCAGCAACAGTATCGATTTACTCAGTGCAGCTGGCACAAGTGCGGTCGGTATCAGTATACCTGGCGGCAGTGGCAACAGCAGCAACATTATTGTATTGCCTAGGGAGAAGTTGTACGAGAAGTGCACTGGGCCAGGAGATCCCGGTCCATGCAAGCAATACATTTACAAATGGCGTTACGAGCCGCTCTCCAACGAGTGCACCACCTTCATTTGGGGCGGCTGTGATGGTAACCCTCAAAATCGTTTCAATACAGAGGCTGAATGCTTATATCATTGCATTGGGGGACCGCGTAAGTAAAAATAAACAAATGGAGCGAAATATTTTAATTCAAAAATACCACATTTGTTTTCTTTTTCTTTTTTCTTTATTTTGTAGATACATTGCCTCCTTTCCTACGCTCCACCACCAGTGAACCTAGCACCACCGAGTCAACACAGCAGTTGTCATCCAACACTGTGGGACCTGTGTATGGCGGCGGCGATGCTTCAGACTCCAGCCCTGTACCTTTTGATCAGCGAGGCCCAGAACTAACGTTTGCCGAAACGGGCCAGGAGAAAACATTCGTCTTTGCCAAGAATAACACATTCATCCAAATGGACGGTGACATTATACAAACATTTCAATTAAGGTAAGATTAACAAACGAAGTAATATATGTATGTATAACTTGTACATACAAGTATATGTATATTTAAAGTAGACTGCGTACATTTATCGGAATTGTCTTGGTTTTACTCTAGTTCATTTAGCAGTACTCGCATATTTGGAACCACCACCATCGTTCGTACATAGAATTAGTTTTTTCAGGGATCTACAAGTTGTTGGTGTAAGAAAAAGATCGACATGATAATATTTTTGATGATATTTTAATTTAAGGAACCAATGAAGTATTTCAATAATTTTATGGTCTAGTTGAAATTATTATGCTTTGAATATAGCTATACGAGATACCAATAAATTATTAACACATGCAATTTAATAGTATTCTTATAATATTATATCTTAATACACCGCAAATAAACACAAAAAGATGTAGGTAATTTATTGCCAAAACTCGATGAAACATCTACATCTTCTCTTAACATCTATCTACCGAATATGACGCTTTTCAAACACTGTACCACACTATATAGGATGTACCATATATATAACGGGTGTTTTTATACTCACGCAACATGTTGCTAAAGAGTATAATAGTTGTGTTCACCTTACGGTTGTTTGTATCACCTAAAACTAATCGAGTCAGATATAGGGTTATACATATATAAATGATCAGGATGAAGAGACGAGTTGAAATTCGGATGACTGTCTGTCCGTCCGTCTGAGCAAGCTGTAACTTGAGTAAAAATTGAGATATCTTTATGGAACTTGGTACACATGTTTCTTGGTAGCGTGAGACGGTTGGTATTGCAGATGGGCGTAATCGGACTACTGCCACACCCACAAAACGTCATTAATCAAAAACAAATAAATTGCCATAACTAAGCTCCACAATAAGATACGAGACTGTTATTTCGTATACAGTATCGCATAAAAACTACTATAAGCTCAATAAATCTCGCACTAAATACTACAGAGACATTAAGTTTTATCGTTGGGGTGGTATGTGATGACTTTATAGGAACCGCGTTCAAAATTAGTCAGTGGGAGTGGCCCCGCCCACTTTTAGGTGAAAACTAATATCTTGGGATCTGCTTAACCGATTTCAACCAACTTCGGTACATAACATTCTACTCATATTTCTATTTTATAGTGCGAAAATGAGCGAAGTCGAATTACAATCACGCCTATTTCCCATATAACGCCATTTTAAATTCTATCTGATTCTTTCGCTTTCCATTATCCAAACAATGTGACCAAAAATTGTCTAAATCGAACCAAAACTGTCCAAGCCCCTAGGCACTGAATATGTGGATCCCAGTGCCTATAGTTGACTTTTTACCGAAAATATCGGTCAACAAAGAACAAGGTGGCAAGATCCACAAATCAAACTAAAACGAGTATACCATTTGACTTTTCGAGAGTACAAAATGATCGGTTGCATCCGAACTTAGCTCTTCCTTACTTGTTCAGAGTTGATTTTTGGCAGCTGTTACTCGATTTATTATCAGTCTGGTTCGCCATTTCATAATGAATAGACTTACTCTGGAACAACATTTGCAAATCGTGCAACTTTAAAAAATAATGGTTTGAACGAAGCCGAATGACCATTAAGCGCACCGCTCGTTCGTTAAAAAGGCTCAAAACGAGATGACCACCAATACCAATTTTTCCAAGTGTTCTGCGATGAAGCTCACTTTTGGTTGAATGGTTACATTGTTAAACAAAATTGTCACATTTGGAGAGCTGATAATACATAAGCCATTGTAATTGAAATATTTAACTAAAAAAATTTTAAATGATCGCTGCACTTTCCGGAAAATTTAATGAATATCAACCAGACTATCTTAATGTCTGTTTCTTTCAGCATTTATTGTATTCATGTATTGAAAAACCATGTATGGCATTTCAATTCAAAATTTATATTGTATATCTGTATATAAGTATTATGAATAAGATATGAATACATTGGGGAATAAACTAATCTACAGCTTCGAAAATCCGGCTGCTCGTGCCCATGGCTCAGGCCTTAATCAGTCATCTCTACATATGAACATATCCGTGATGCTGAGCACATGCAAATGAATCTAGTAGCAAATGTTATAAATTGTTGTAGGTTCTTATGGTTTTTAGGCAAGTGGCAGGCTGCAGGCTACGAAAGAACAGGCTGCTTCCAAGAGCATTCATAATGAGTGATTACAGAATGAGTTTCTTGATTGCTTTCCCTGCATTGTGGTGGTACTTGTGCAGTATGTGCTTGAGTGCTTTGAAATACTCGCACACAAATCTTATTTAAGTATTTTAAATACATTTTGTTTACTCACATGCAAAAACCAGCTGGCAATCAATCAGCAATCAGCTAGCGTTTGCCCAACTTATAATGAAATTTTGCATCTCCTGCGTACAACATATGTTTACGAATTGCGAAGATTAATAAGAGTTAGTACTCAAACCACTTAGTAAATCTCGATAAACCTCAAAACTTATAAGAATTATATTAAACTATTATCTGTTTAACTTATACCAGATGAAAATTTGGCCTTAAACTAAACTAATTCCTAAAATATACACAATGGTCTTAGTTTAGGAAGTAACGTAGAATTTTTGAGTCTGCTTTGATCATTGTCAATGGTATCGAGCTATAGTAGCTAAAGTGCCGTTACATAGTCCATTAGGAGTAGTCATCAATTTGGATGCCAGCGAACGGCGCGAAATTTAATAAGCTCTGTGGCCTCACTAACGATACCTGTTCCAGTGTTTTACACCGTGGAGCCCCAGATGTTGGAAACGTTGCCTTGCCAATGCAAGACAAGTGCATAAGTGATACTCAATTTTTTTTCTGGTGTCTTGCCTTTGGCATTTATTGCAACCTTCTCGTTTTGTCAGCCTCATTCTGCAGATGTGAGCCGCCTCCAGACTGTAGTCAGTATGCAACCATGTTCCTACTACGAAATACAAAGATATCGAGTTAATTCATGATAAAAAATAAGTATGGGTGCCTTGAATTGTAAAGCTAATGAACTTCTGAAGAAAGACACAACTCACTATCAGCAGAATGGGACCAGATCGGAGATAGGCTGATAGGTTGGCTTGTCGTGACTTGGTTAGTGCTTGTCAATTACTAGCTCTTCCGCAGTCACAAGGAACTTTTGACCCTAGATAAAACGCATAAATACTCTAGTGAGCTCTTCGACTTCAGAAAAGTTCGCCTTTCCATAGTTGTAGAGGTTAATGGATCCAAATCTTACCGAATGATGTTTGTCCAAGTTGTTTAGAAGAAGAAGAAGTATAATAAAATCCAAACTTCCCTCTTGACTGGACGAGGTTAATGCTAACTAGCCTTCGTCCACACACGTTCAGATTTGTAAAGAATACAAGGCGCTTTTTCGACACATGGGATCCAACATTAGTATTTTGGCTTAACAAATTACTTACCTTTAACTGTCCAAGTATGATTTCCCAGCTCGGATCATCCTTAGAACCAAAGCTAGCCCATTGTTCATCATTATTTTTTGACTCTTTCGAGTTCTTTGCAATACTTACAGTTTCGAAAATTGGCTTTCCATCCGTATCTTTAAAGAAAGTTATATTCCCAAAACTACTTAATTTTCGGTCCTAACATAGTAGTCTTTTTGAGTAAGCTGAAAAGCCCCCAAACTTATAGGAAATACTTGTATTGATATAAAAATATGCGCCGAGCTTATTCAAATAAGTTACCACTGAAAGATTTTGAGATACCATTAAGCTTCACACTATGAGGGATCACAGGAGGTTAATACCAAAAATATTTAATAAAACAAATACATATGTTCATAATTTACAACATTTCCTTCTGTATATATTTATAGACTTTGTCGAGAGATCTCATTTCAATTTCGAACGCGTCTACCACATGGTCTACTCGTCTATCATAACGTAAAAAATCCGGATCGCATTAACTTAGACCCATATGCACTGTATGTAATTGTAGAGAAGGGGCAACTAAAAGTGGTGCACGTTTTTGGAAAGCACTCGACGAGCGTTACCGTGGGCGAAGGACTCAATCGTGACGAATGGCACAGTGTGATGGTAAAATTATTATATATACGTATTATTTAAATCTATAATTTATGTATTGCTGTATTAAATGTACATATAAGAGTACCTTTTTTATATTTTTATTGCAACTGGAAACAACTTCAAACAATTTTATAAATACATAACTCACACACTGACTGACATATTCGGCACAAGGTTTGTTAGAATAACGAAATTCATTATATGTAGTACAGGGGAGCTTGGGTAATTAGTGGACCAATTTCCCATATTTTTGGCATTAAAGTAAAGTAAATCGAATACTATATTTTCAGTTAATTTTGCTAACATATTGGCCGTTATATACTGTATAATGCAACTGGAAGTTTGAAAATCTTATATTAGGTGTATGGGTGATATGGGTAGTATAGGTAGTATTGACCAGATTTTATTTATTTTTGGCATTATCACATATCATTAATAGAATGCTCTCTGAGTTTCATTAAGGTAACTCACATACATTCACCAACATATAAAAAGTAAAGTCAACCGGTTGTTTGAAAATTGTGTTATATGTGATCTAGGACAAGTTTTTACCCCATTTTATCTATTTTAATCACAAAAGTACATTATTATTAGAAAAACACGCTTTTTCAACTTCATTATGATAACTCACATAGGTATGGGGACTAAGAGAATTATTGATCCGATTCAATCCATTTTTGCTATACAGGCTGCATACCTGCTTGCACAAACGGACGGTCGGTTAGACAGTCACCCGGATTTCAACTCGTCTCTACATCCTGATCATTTATATATTATATGTATACATAACCCTTTATCTAACTCAATTAGTATTAGGTGATACAAACAACCGTTAGGTGACCAAACTACTATACTCCGTATTAACATGTTGCAAGAGTATAAGCATTAACTGTAGTAGATTCGTTGTCTATAAAGGTATATCAAGTATTTCTCTTCTTCTCTAAGTATTAAAATCATTATCTATCGCAAAATCATCACAATCCCCTTTGCTTTCTACAGTCTCCCACTTATCAATCACACATTTTGGCATTGATTGTTGAAAGTGACAAAAACCCTGCTGTCCCGTACGATCAACCGCCAATGTGTGGCAACAACATTACTCACCGTGGAGCATATTTACATACATACATATTTACTCATATCCAATCCCGTGAAAGTTGGAGAATTTATGAGTATAGCTTTCATCAAGTTCTAGTCGGTGAACTCTTGAAAAATGCCGACGATAGTCATTAATAACGTTCCCGTTGAATGCATTTTCTTGTTACACTTCTTTTTGGGTTTATTTTAATTTTGCTTCGAACTTTTTTATTGTTCCCTAAACCTGCGCTGCAGAGTTCAAAAAAAAGGAAATACAAATGAATGCAATTTTGGAATTCATCTACCATTGATGCCAGTTCAATCATTCACAGTTGTGAATCTAAGGCAAAGGTGTTGTTGTATGTGTGTCTGTGCGATTTGCCTACATACATTGACGCCGCTTGCACCGCAAAATGCACTTAAGGTCACGTCGGACATTGCAAGTAAATTACTTTCAACTTGAAACTTATGAAATTCATAAATTGATTGAATTTTATCTTTCTCATCCTTTTTTTAACGTCATGCAAAATTTGAACAGTAAAGTCCCTGAAATTTGTTTCTGCACACGCTGACCTTTAGCATGTAAATTAATTTTCAAAAGTTGATATTCACTTTCGAAAAGTTGAAAAATTGTAAAGCCTTTACTGCTGTTCTGTTCATTTGCTATATTCTTATACTTTTTATGAATCTAAAATATCAGAAACTGGGGAACAAAATTTACCCCATACCTAGGTTCGCGCGCCAAAATATTGGCAACGTTAACATCACTTTGCCCGCCATGAAAATCTTGAAAAAAAAGTTTGATGTTGGAAAGCTCTACAGTCAATTTTAAAATTTTGGGTAGCTTAATAAAGGTAAATTCAAACAAGTAAGGAAGAGCTAAGTTTGGCCGTAACCGAACATTTATTACTCTTACAACAAGGATCAAAGCCGGGGAAATACCTTCAGGTTTTGGCAAAACATTAGGTACATTAAAAAATGAAGCGAAAATATTCAACTTCATTGTTCGACAAAATCGTGAATGGATTACAATCAAATTTGGTATCATATTAACTTATTTTGAAGTTCCACTTAGTTTTTTTTACTATATTTTTCCTCAAATGAGACATATGCGATATAAATTTAATATTATATATTGGGTTGATGTGAAAAACGTCAGCAAACGGGTGGTCCAAGTAGAGGTACCTTTTCCAATAGCCTTTTTTTGACCGATCACGAGTGAATCATGTCAAGCTGTTACATTATTTTTGTTTAATATTATTTGGCATTTCATCATGAAAAGACTTACGCCTGAACAACGTTTATAAATGGTATAACTTTATTACGAAAATTCACGTTCTATAAAGATTGTGTTTCGCACACTTCGCTAAACTTATGATTAACAAAATCGACCTACTGGGTGTACTTTTCTTAACACCATCACCCATCTTGAGACCCAACATTCATTATTGGATAATATTCGACCGAAAATACCACGTCCAGCACGCAGTGAAGAAAATATAGCGGCCGTAGCAGAGAGTGTACACGAAGACCGTGGAGAGTCGATTCGGCACCGCTCCCATGAACTCGGACTGACGTATGGAACGACTTATCGTTTTTGATGTGGAGATCTAAAATTGAAAGCGTGCATAATACAGTTCGTACAAGAACTGAACGCTCGACCTTTCCCAGCGCTGCGCTCTATGGGATCTTGAGAAGTTCCAAGAAGAGCTGACGTTTTCGCGCCAAATTTTGTTCAGCCATAAGGATCATTTCTGGCCCATCAAGAGCTGCCATTTCATTTAGAAAAAACAGCGGTTTGGTGTGGTTTGTGGGCCAGTGGAATCATCGGTCCATATTTCTTCAAAAATGATGCCGGTGAGAACGTCACCGTCAACAGCGACCGTTATCGCGATATGATAACCGACTATTTGATGCCTGAAATTGAAGCTGGTAATCTCGGCGATATTTGGTTTCAACAAGACGGCGCCACTTCCCACACATCGCATTATTCAATGAATTTATTGATCGAACACTTCAGTGAGCAGATAATTTCACGTTTTGGGCCGGCCGATTAGCCACCAAGATCGTGTGATATCACACCGTTAGACTTTTTTCTGTGGGGATATGTAAAGTCTAAAGTCTATACGGACATTACCGCTTCGATTCAGGGCTTGAAGCAAAACATCACGTATGTCATTTGCCAGTTACCAGTCGATTTGCTCGATCGAGTCACCGAAAATTGGGCTCAACGGATGGACAACCTGAGACGTTGCCGCAGCCTGCATTTCAAAAACATAATATTCAAAGAATAAATGCCAAAGAATGTTGTTTCGATCGATAATAAACATTCTCCAAAACCAACTCCGAAAAAAGTATTGCCTGATTGAAAACCACATGTATAAAAAAACACTCGTTACGTTATGCTGCATCTTATATATTTTTCACTTAAGACATTATATAATTTGATATAACTGAATAATTCTTCCGTTTGGGAAGGGTTGAGCATTTCATTAAAAACAAGGGCCTTAAATTTACAATTTTGCCCAAAAATAAACCTTATTTCTGTTGCATCTAGAAAATGTCATTACTCAAGTTAACTTTTCGTAATCAATTATCAACAATAAAAAGTACTTTCCCAGACTACTTTCCAGGTCTTCATAAAAATAGTAACAATTTTGAACAACAACATAAGTTAAAAAGTACTTTTCCACGTCACATCTGACAATACCTTTACCCACCACCTTCTACACATCCGTACGTTTGAACTTTCACTGATTTGTAATCGCTTAATGCATATATGTCTATCTATGTGTCATATTAATACCCACACGAAAGTTGTCTACGCAGTTTCAGAAATCTTAAATGAAATAATTAATACAACCTCATTCTTTTCGAGTTTGACCCTGTTTGATGCCACCTTTTAACCACAAATCAATTTCTTTCTATGTCATTCGATTTGATTTATCTTAGAAATTTCATATACGAGTATGTATGTATTTTCATACCCACATTCGGCTTTTGCCAATGCTCGCAATGAGCCAAACATTCAGAATAAGTATCCTATCTACAACAAGTGTGTGTGTGCTTGGATTGTCTCAGGTCATTCAACAAACTAATGCTTCTTCTTTGTTGTCATCGTACAATGTAGGTACGCATCGATGTCCATGGGGCAAGATTGATTGCACGCGTTGACAACAGTCAAGAGGAAGTTTACCTGAAGGGCTTGAACCACGACACTAACTATGGAGTGTCGACGAATCTGCCGTCTGTGGTGCTGGTTGGAGGTGAGTACTTTGTATTTGCTACATCATTTTTTAGCTACAATAGACGTTAATCGTTATTTAATATATACCTCATATATCGGCATGGCTCTTAGAAGAAAAGAGCTGTCCAGAATTGAAAATATATGTGTAAAAATATTGTATATAATGTGTCATTAGAGGCAATGCGTTACTCACATAAAGAGAGCGCTTAAAGATAAGGTTTCTGGGTTCAATTAGGCTAGGCATTGAGGCTGATCATCACTACGGAGACCACAGGTATTACACTTGGACAATTAAATCTCACTCCTTCTTAATAATAATACCAACATTTAAAAAAAGATCAATTTATAAAACGGAGTAAATTACTACTTGAGATACAAATAAAAACTCCCTCTGTGTTCACGAAACAAGTACGTGGACAATAGGATCTCATATATCCAGTCCCTATCCAAGCATTCCTAGAACATTAGTTTACAGAGGGTATCTATGTTTCTTAATTCTTTCATTTTAGGAAACTCTTATTTAGATATATACGTATAACGAGATATTTTTAGCCCTACCTGAAAAATAACTGTTCGTTCCTCAGCGAGACACTATAGCTCAGATTATCTTCTGCCGTTAAAACATAGATTTTGCCATTAAAAAGAAAAATATGGTACAACATCGTAAGGGCTTCTCGATAGAGAACGGATAGGACCATTTAACAAAGCTTCCTGTTCTGTGAATCTCGATCAATTAAGTGACGTCAATCCATTCATTCGGATACGATTAAACATAATTAGTTCGGTTTTGAAAAGATCTGCAGCAGAATCCTGTCAAACAAAAAGTTAGTTATCGACCAAAAAATAATTATATAACTAGTCTCATTCTGAAATCACTAATGTAGAACGACACGAGAATGAATAAGGGACCGAAGCAATATTAAACAATAGAGTACATAATTCTCCAACTGAGAAAGAGTTAGTTCTCATATCGAATTCTTAAGCTGCCAAAATGAAATTGAGGTTGGCGTCTTTTGGCTTTTAAATCATGCAAATAGATTTTGACGAACTCTTCCAGATAGAGCATGTTCGCCATAAACTTCCACGAAAATACGATAATTTTCGGCAAAAGTGTTCTTCATATTAAATTTATGAAGAAAATCTCCCCGCAAAAACACTTCTTATGGCACAAAGCTCAACATATTTGAGTGAAAAAAATTTAATTATGGTGTTAATTCTTCATTTAAGTGACATATATTGAGAAAGACGCATAATGACAGTAGCTTTCCAACGCATGTTCGGAATATGGGAACAATGGGATAATAGTCAATATATGATATCTTCTAGAAAACAGCACAAATACAATTACAGATCCAATAGAAATTCAAAAATCGTTTATCACCTGAACTATTTTTAACATGTTTACTCTGGAAGAGTCTTGTAGGCTTCTCCTACAAAGGATGTCATAGTTCCCGCCCTTATAACAACCACTTATCAATTACGATATCCCTACTGTTTTCCAAGACTTAGTTGCCCTGTTGTTGAGTTGGTAGTAAAAAATTTACAATACTATTGTACTTAAACTAGTATTCAACAATAGTCTTACTTTATCGCTTTAGTGCAATTCAATATCTGCATGCCAAACTTACGCAAATTCATGTACATACATACACACACTTTTTATACACTTCCACACACTTTCGCAAACACTCCCTTACCTGTATTCTAACCTCAGTGAGTTGTAAAATAATATTATTTAAAATGTTTTTTTTAACTCTTACATGTTAATTAATCTTCATTATGGACATGGAAAACACAACCGCAACAATAAAACAACAACAATAACTATATGAAACCAACTTTAATCGCAAAACAACCATGGATCAAAATGGCCAAAACTTTGTAAATCACCATCGCCAACAACAAAACCAAATGTCATAACCACAACAACCCAAACACAAAAACATAATAACCTGCTGCGTTTTTTTACTCAACACCTGCTATGTGGTGCACGCTGGCGTATACGTAACACGCACGCTTGTCTGCAAATGAACACACACGAACCGGACACCGCAGGTCTTTCATCGGAGGAGAAACTGCATGGCGTCAAGTATATCATTGAATCATTCGTGGGCTGCATTCGAAATGTGGTATTGAGTTCGGGGAAAGCAGCATCCGATTTGCTGCCCATCGCCCCTCTGGTGGCTACCAAACATGAGAACGTCAATGAGGGCTGCTCCGACAAATGCTATTCCAGACACAATTTATGTTTTGTGGGCTCCCGTTGTATTAATCACTATTATGACATTTCATGCGATTGCTTTGGCACTCCCTACGAAGGCGAGCACTGCGATATTTACAGTAAGTATCTAAATATTAGTAAACGTTACAGTTAGACATAAAAAACGTGCAAAAACCATGAAAACAAATCACAGCAAAGAGTTTGTTTAATGGAAATGGTTTACATGAGTAACTGCAATGGGTGCTTTATGAATGTGAGTGCCTCCTGTAGGAAAATACGAACATCTCTTTCATTGAAAAAGGTATTTGAAAATTTAAATTCAGTAATTCGCATAATTTTTACGAAAGTTTGGCTTAAAATGGTCTGAAGTTTCAGATGAATTCGCAATTGAAAAATAATGATTCAAATTACTATGTTGCTTTTTGCAAGTCCTTCGCTTCAAGTTCTTGCAAGTCCTTTTAAATTTACTTTTGCTGATTGATTGTAATATGATTCAAATACTTCTTTTGAACTCATTATAAACATGGCTTCTATAAAGCTTTTTTGAACACCTTCAGTTTTCTAGATATTTTGTAATATGTATTCCCTCTAAATTTGTTCGTTAGGCGACACATTTTTCATTGATCTTTCAAGAAATTTTTCCGTATAGATATTATACAAAGTATTAAAATTGTAATGATTATCACCTAATCCCAAAACAGTTCAGAAATGATCCCCCAATACATCCCAAAAATCCCAAATGATTCTTAATAGTCCCAAAATAATTCCGAAAGAAAGTCAAAGCGATCAAAAAGTTAAAAGTCCAGACAGGTTTGTTTTATTCTAAAGGGAATGTCCCTAGGAGTGTGCTTAAATTATCTAAAGAGGCGGAACAGTACACTGACCTATTTAGGATTGTGGCAAAACCAGCTCATGCTCTCAAGTATGTGCGGTCTAACTTGCAAATTCCGATAGTAATAATAAAGAAGTAAGGAAGGGCTAAATTCGAGTGTAACCAAACACGGAAAATTCATTAAGGTGCTGGCAAAACTTTATATTCATTATTCGAAGAAATCGTGACTAAATTGCAATCAAATTTGGTATCTTATATTGAAGGTCATTAACTTGGACTAAATTTAATAGCTATATTTTAGTTCGCGTCAGCAAAAATTTTATTAAAAACATCTTCAAATGAGATACATGTGACGACAAGTCGACCAAAGAGACTTACTTATAATAATATAATATATATTGAGTTGATGTGGAAAACGACTACCAGAAGATCGGAATTAATTATATTAGGAATATGACGTTTAGACCAAGGTATAGACGAATTTCATTCCAACCAAATTTTTTATTTTAAATTCTTCTCTATTTAATTTCATTAAAATATCACATTTTGACCAACATGAACAGTTTAAAGTCAGGTGGAAAGGAAAAGACGGAAATCATTCTATGGGCTATATTGAAGGCAGAGAAAGCGACGGGCTGATTGCATTAGCTAACTCACATACTGAACGACATATTCGGCATAAATGTTGTTAGAAAATGAAAATCATTACAGTTAGCGGTAGTATTGACCCAATTTTATCTATTTTTGCCAATACCACATACTATTAATGTGCCACAGACTAATAAAATTCTGGTAATAGTTATATAGGGGCTAGGTCAAGTTTTCGCTCGATTTTATTCATTTTAGGCACAAAGATACACTGTTATAAGTAAAACACGCTTTCTCATTTTCATTGAGATAATCTGTCACCCGGAAGTTCAAAAATCTTTATATTTATATTTATATTCAATCCATTCTTCACTTTGAGAACTACAATTATCAAGAAAGGACTCACTCCGAATTTCATTTATACATCTCACACATTGACCGATGTATTCGGTAAAAAGGCAACTATTAGCACTGGCGTCCAAATATTTGGTACCTACAGATTCGATTTTGAAAACTTTTGGTCATAAGGTGGTACACATCTCGCCATATCTATCTCCATTAGTTTTAAGTGATACAAACAACCGTTAGGTGAATAAAACTATTATAATCCGTAGCGACATGTTACAATTTATGTGCTTGGTGCACTTTAGTAATATCCAAACCGTGAAGTTTATGAACTAACCCGAATATGAGCAGTTTATCAGCCATATATGTATATGGCCCAATTTTCAATTTTAGATATATTTTCTTGTTCTATCATTTTTGGTGAAGTTGTAGATTGTTCAATTCTGGCAGCACTAATGTTCTTGCTCTACGAAATAAAACAGCAATTGAAAGTTTTTCGAAAATTGTCAATTATATCAAGTGTCATAGAAGAGTTTTAAAAAATTCAGTTGATGGATAAAATTAAAAACTAATAAATTTCTGTTCCATAAATTTCGTCAGAAGCTCAAATTGCCCAACACAACAAAAAAATCACCGCCTTAAGAAATCATTTCCAAAAACAATATGATTGCGGCGCTTTAGATTTCGAAATATTTATATTCCTACAACTTATGTTTCGTTCAGTTGTTTCGCAAATTTGAAATCAAAGTATCTCGCGTTAATCCACATCAGACCTCATTTGAAAATCATCACCATTCTTTAACGAAGTCAGACGCGATAAATCCTCATACAAAATGGGTAAAAGAACTCGAAGCCTCTTTCGCGGTTCTTTCACTCAAAAATTAATGTATAAGCAACACAAAGAAGCGCTCAGCAAAATTTCCAGCGCCGTTGATATTGGTCCGCCCCAAATCAAAAAGGATGTATATCTAAATATAAGAGGCATGCGTAATGACAAATACGCCTTGAGGCGTATCATTAAAGAAAATATAGAGCTTCTGGAGAGACTCAATCAAATACGACGCACACACGGCCTGAGCAACAGCTACAACACGCGCAAGCGTATTTCACAGACCAAGCTACAGCATCTGTTGCGACGCATTGATGATATTGAATCGGAGAACCAGTTTCTAGGCTGCCGCCTCTTGCGGGTCAAGCCTATGCTGACGAAGTCTGTCATGCCGGTTTCGGCGCACAGCAGCAGCCGATTAAAGCTTGAGAGGTCGAATGTTAGTCTGAAAATTCGTGAGAAGTTGCTCATGGACCAATTGCTGCATCCAAAAATTTTCTTAGACTTGGAAGTGAAAGACATCCGGCCATTAGGACGCGTTGTTATACAACTATACACAGAGGCATGCCCCGAAATGGTGTTGGAATTTGTACGCACATGCTCCGAAAATAAGTCGGAGTTGTTCAAGCTTATACGCATTTTTCCCGGTTTGTGGCTCGAGGGAGAGATCACTGTCAAAAATGGCGTTCTGAGCAAATCCAATTTCCAGCATGAAATGAACATGATAAGACACGACTCCGGCTCTGGCATTCTTTCATTTGCCAAATGTTATCTAACTCATGGCTTTCCATATGGACTGCTTAATTTTACTATTAGCTTTAAGCCCATGCCCGTGCTTAATGGCGAGCGTGTAGCCTTCGGTGAGTTAATTGCTGGCCATCGAGTAATGGAATGCACCCAGGACTATGGCACAAAAAATGGTAAAGTCAAAAAGGAGATTCTAGTTGTACACAGCGGTCTGAAAGCATATATCGACGTCTGACATTCAAAAAATTTATTCTTACTTGTAAAACAATTTTATTGTTTCTACTCTGCTGCCCCTTTATGTTTGTTGCTGTTGTTTTTGTAAGTCTGTATAAATAAAAAGAACGCAGACAAGAAACTTCAACCAAGTTTCAAACGTTTTTCTCCTTCGACAGATTTAACGATAGCACAAGTAATTGACTTCGAACTCAGAATAAATCAGATCAGTTGCAAAGCTGACCCTAATATTTATCAGATTCGCATGACAGCATCACTCAAGAATAAATCTATAATAGTGAGAGATGTGCAAACAGCGGCCTTAACAAACTCATATACCTGCTATCATACTCGGTATTAGTCGTTGTATTTATTCGCTCATTAACACTCTAAGAAAACTGTTTGTTTGATATTTTTATTATCAAACGACTCAGATATATCAGAATCTATGTTGAACTGAGTACTCTACCATACCGACCTTGTTTATACAAGTTTGTGGAGATAGAGATATCGTAGAATAAGATAAAACAGGTATACCTCTGCTTCTTATTCTTCTATGGCACTACAATCGTGGGCCGTTTTGGGCCGAGAACCCAAAACTTTGTCAGTTGCCTCTATCGTTTGCGAACTCACGCCAGTTGTACATTCCGAGCGAAGGCAGGTCCCTATGAACTTGCTTCTACTTTTAGAAATGGCCTAACCAAAGAATTAATTTAATTTTTCTGCGTTTAACTATATCCACGTCGCCATAGAACTCATACAGTTCGTGATCTTATCTTCTTTGGTACTCAACGCTCACGCGGACAACTCCAAAGATCTTGGCATAGAATGTTGGTCCTATTTATGAGTGATGCAGTTCCCATGATGAAAATAATCTTTGACCCTCGTTCACCTAAGACTAACTGCGTTGTTTTGTTTTTTTCTGTTGTTAAGTCCTATGATGTCAATGTTTTCTGCGTATGCGATGCCACTGGTTATCCTCAATGTTATCTCTGTACACCAGTGACATTGTTTTTTAGAGTATTGTAGATAGTGCTACTGCGGTTGAGATTAGCGTCGAGTATCACTTTTTCTAACATTATATTGAAGAAAGCACACGAACGGGAAAGTCTTTCCCGATTTTGACAGAGCTGATGGTCGTGCACAATTTTATTCTGTATAACCATATGACTATCGCAGGGATACCAATTGTAGACATGGCGTCGAGGAGCAACTCCGGACAGTGCTGATAAAAAGTGGTAAAAGTAATGGTATCAGCCAAATACAAAAAAATAATATATATTATATTTAAACTCTTAATTACCAGCACATATCATATATCACTTAGTTTAATAGGCATTTATCTAAGTTTTATTCATATTAATATTTTCTCCACCAACACAGCCGCAACGATAATGACTCTACGTGGCTCCAGCTATGTCTCGTATCGCATTTACGACTGGAAAGACCGAGTGCATTCCTCGAACACCCGCATCAGCCTCATGTTCCGCACACAGTTCGACGATTCAGCGCTTTTCTATGCTAGTGGCGAGTCACTTAAACATCAATACATCGCTGCCTCGATAAAAAATCAATCAATTCATGTGGAAATGGATTTCGGAGATAACGTGCTGTCGACAGTGCTCACTGATGAGTTGACACGTAGTAATTGGCATAATTTAACCATTCACCATGAACGACGCACAGTTCGCATCATACTTGATCAGCAAATGAAAGTATTGGACATACCAGCGACATCAAGCAGCAATCTGCTATTCGATCCCGAAATTTACTTCGGTGGCGGTCCGGATTTGCACAAGAAGAAGGGCTTGCATTCACAGAACAATTTCGTTGGCAGCCTGAAGTATGTCTACTACAATGATGTGTCAATTTTATATGAGCTACAAAAGAGTAATCCAAAAGTGCACTACCACGGTGAGTGAACAACAACAATGTTGCAAATTATATTACTGTTTTATGTTTGTAATTATAATAAAATTTGGAGTTCGCGGGAATTCAGTTTATTCTGATTCCCATTACTTATGACCCTTGAGTACGCGTGAATTTACCCGATCACACGCCAATTTCATGTGAAATCATGTGTCTCTCTTTGAAAAATTCATAAAGCGCATAAGCCAATTATGCCATTGCTACAAGAAATTGCCATTTCCGCTAATATCCACATTGTTTGGAAATATTTCGTCCTGGTGCAAAACATTTCGCTTAATATATGTTAAATCGCAGTCTTTAATATTTTCATCAAGTTTTAAAAAAAAAACTGCTGATGTCAAAAATTAGTTCGATGAGTTGAATAAACAGAATTGTAGCAAGCCATTGTTGAGACGTCGTTACATCCTCAAAAGTTCACTGTTTGATGTGCTCTATGGACAGAGGGAATCACTGAATTGAAGGTTGTTGATGTGGACGTCCTTTGCTTTCAACAAAACAGCGCTACATGCCATACATCCAACGAAACAATTTATTTATTAAGCACATTATCTCGTCTCGTGGACCTGTGCCGTAGCCTGCAATTTAACACCACTGGACTATTTTTGTGGAATTCAGTGAAGTCTCTTGTCTACGCAAATAAGCCCGAGCCGATTGACGAATTGATATAGAATATTCGGCTTGTAATAGCTGATATACGGCCCGAATTGCTGCAAAAAATGTCAGCAGTCACTTGCTCTAAATCATTTTTAAAATATCATGGCAAACACTTTTCTTTTTATGCATTTATTTCGAATGATTGGCTTTAAATTTCTGAACCAACAATTCACAGATTTTCTAAACTTTATTCGTCGCAGCTTTTGTAATATTTCTGCATTCATGAGAATTGAAACCCGGCACGTGCAAATATGCAGCCTCTCTAACCTAACCTAATGCTATACAGAAAAACAGTTCGATATACTTGTGTGTATTAGCTGAGTAAAATATTGTATTTGATTATTTGCAACGGAACTCACAGATCAATCATGAAACGTACTTATTTCACCCGCTGTTGTCGGTATCCTCGCATAAATCACACTTTAATTGCGAACATATGCACAAGCGTACCGGGGTATTACGAAAATTGCTCGATTAACAGTCTAATATACAATTTCCTATGTGCATATTTATGTAACTGTATGCGAGTGCAGTGAAATATATGATATATTTGTGAATTGACTATTGCTACTTTCTAGGTGTCCTCGAGGCCGAATTCCTAGAGAACGAAGTCAACGTCATACCCATTACGTATCCCTTCGCAACATCTCACATTTGGTGGCCCATAAATCACGCCGAAGAATTTAATATTAAATTCGATTTCCGGAGTAGTCGTACAGCAGCCGTATTGGCATACAGTGATGTGACAACAGCATCCGGAAATGGATTTTGGGAGGTAAGTGTCAGTGCAACTACTCGTGCAAGTATATGTAGGCGTCCATGGGACGGCAGAGAAAACATTTCAACGAAATATGATTTCTAAGAGCGTTTAGTGTGCGTGCATATGTTAATGTATGTGTAGCTGAGGGCCTGAGGGTGCATGTAGGTGTTGGCGTGCAGAGCAGTGCAATTGCAGCACACAACAACAAAATTTCCTAGTTTTCGTTAAAATGAATTCTTAAAAGCTACAGGCATACGCATATACATGTTCATATGTATGCTAAACATATACATATGTATATAGCGGTGTAGAGGGCATGGGGGCACATACGTTATGCATAATGGCGTACGTGTTCATGAATTTGGCTTGCGTCGTTCGGATAAGCGCCTGAGAGGCAGTGACAATGCAGTTCACAGCAGTTTTTACATTATATCGAACGCATTGCTTTTTGTCGTTGTTGTTGCCTAGCTTAATAATGCCGCTGTCAACTGCAAGACGAAATTGCTATGCTGTCGATATTGCGGAGAAATCATCGTGGCGTTTGCAATATGCCAGCGCCATCCCTTTGAAATATTACAGGAATTCCATTCATTGCTCGCATATTTCACCGGCTGCTGTAATCGACAAATTACACCAATAAAAATGAAGCGAAATGAGTGTGCATATTTGACTTGGCGAAGCATCAGTGTGATTTTTATCCAAATTAAATAGGTTAAATCAAATTACAGGCAATAAGGCGAAGGACACATTTGACAACTTTGTTAAGCTGCGCATTGATTTCATTTTGTCAAGAAAGCTAAATATTCTTCGGAAGTCTAAAACTGACAACTAATTTTATGGAATATGATATATGTACATAAGAACAGTATTAAAAGAAATAAAATTTAGTAATGCCAGATTTATAATATTTCATAAGACTTTACTTTAATAAAACATTTGGCAACACTAGAAATGTGATATTTAAAATTAAAAATATGTTAAAAGTTACTTGACTTACTTTACTGTAAGCCTAGTTTAACATTAATAAATTCATTCTTAAAAGTATGTACTGCCTTTGTAAAAACCATCGGCTATTATTTCACTTGTATAAATATATTCCAGCTGTAATGACTTATCTTGCAAATTCACTCATATAAATTTCTCCTTTATGTCCATATACTTAGTACGGGGTGAAAAGTTATTGTTCCGTACAATGTGAATTGTGCGCTTGTTATCGCAGTACGTTTTTATTGCTTCTGTACCCCTATGTATGGTATTAATTCCGATTCTAGCCGATGTAGCCAAATCGTTTCTTGAAATGCGTTCACTACTGAAGGTAGCTTTACTCCAATTGATGACAATGCTACGGTTCGCTGTCTGAGCAATGACCAAGATATAGCTGCACTATGCATTACAAACACGTACTTAGAAGTTGACCGCCTTTGATCAAGATCTTCTGTCCAGTCAGCATCGCAATAAACTCTGAGCCGATTTCTGAAATACGATACCTATGTAAACTGTGCCCTTCAAATACTGCATCACACGCTTCACTGCGAGCCAATGAGCTTTGCCGGGGTTTTGTGAAAAACGGCTGAGCAATTTGAATGCGAATCTGATATCGGGCCGAATATTTTGTACAGCAGACTACCGATTGCCTCCATATATAGAACATTCTCCATTTCTCTCTTTGCTTCTTCAGATTGTGGACAAATTTCCACAGTTAGCTTTTGCGACAAATCTAATGGCGTAGCAACGGCATTACAGTCGATCATTCCAAACCCTTTTAGTATACTGGGTATATATTCACACTGATCAAATTTAATTACCTATTTTACCTCATCTGAACTCGCATGATAAGTATGGATGACGCTAAACTTATGTTCTTTATTTAAAATTTTGATGACAATCCGCCATTAGAGAATACCAAAACGTCGTCCACATAAATTGCTACGTACACCATGCTCACTCACACAATAGTAAATGCATTGATAGGCTTCCCTCCGTTTTAGCCTCAGACTGACGAGTATTCAATTTATTGTTCCAAACTTTGTTTGCTTATTTTAGATCATAAAATGATTTTAGTAGAAAACAAATCCCTTTATATCAAATAAGCACACCTCTAGCATTGCGCTTAGTTTTAAAACCACACTTCGAATTTATTGCTCTTTTACCTTCTGGCAATTTCGTAAGCACTCAAGTTTTGTTTGAGTTTGTTTGATCTCCTCTTCCATTATACGTTTCCCATCACCTGCTTCAGGACTAATCAATGAAATTTCAATACTCACAGGGTCATCAGCTTCAGATCCAAAGCTTAACAACAATTTCCCTTTTGCCTTGTTTGCAATACGCTCCTATCGACGAACTGCACACTTGTTGTTACGCTGAGCAGTTGCTTCGTTTTCATCAGGATTATCGTACTCACTTTCCGTCACATTTAATGAACCTCGTCGAATAAATGGGAAAAACCACTTTCTAGATTGAACCCTGTATCCACCTATTGGTTAAGTCACAAAAAATAGACTGATGATAATAAAAGTTTAATGTTGAAGACCTTGTTTATGTGGGTAGTAATATTATTAAAATAAACAAATTATGACAGCTGGATATCATATAAAGAGCTTTAGAAGGGTGATGCGAAAAAATATTTGTGTTTAATTGAATTTTATTTGCCCGTCAAATATTTTGATATTTATTTGATATTTTCCGCGTCAGGGTAAATATTTTGTTGGTAAATATACACCTTTGCGTTTACCATTATTGTTGTAAAAGTAATCTCTCGTGCAACAAATATTTCGCAATTGCATTAGGAAATAAATATTTGCAAATTATATATTATACATATACAAATTCATATTTATATTTATACAAATATATTGTAAAATTAATTTAATTTCAAAGGGAAGACGATAAATATGTTTTTATTGCCGAAAAATTTAACGTTATCGCCAACATCACCTAGGACCGCTTTCTTAAATACTGTTTGAGCATATATACTCATATATAAGGTCTAGTAAAATAAATCTATTATTTTAAATTTTTTTAAACTTCTCTTGCGAAAAACAGGTAGTAATTACTTGATACCAGGTCCAAACTATATCATTGATGATAGGAACATTTCAACCCAGTCCCCGGAGTTTCTAGCCAGTCACTATCGATGTATGTGGCATTGTCCTAATAAACATAACGCTTCTGCTATTCGCCAAAACTGGCCATTCCTCGGCATTTGCTTACTTCATACAGTCACAGTAGAGGTCTAAATTAAATATTTGGCCTTTCCTGCCTGCCAATCCCATCCTTCCTGACAGTCAATCTGGACTTATTCACCATTTGCGCTGGCTCACCACGATTCGATCACTACTGTTTTCCATTGCAAATATACGTGGTTTGGCTGTATATTTCGTGATCTTCCATCAGCTGAAAGCAGTTGACTGTATGGGTGTTTCCAGATGAGCCGATTCGAACTGAAGTTGTTCGCGCCCGAAGAATTTCCAACCAAATAGTTGCCGGTTTTTTTTTTTGCAAAAACTGAACATGTCACAATCATACCACCAAAACAATGCAGAACAGTAAATTCTGAGTAGTATACAACTATTTGGCTGTCAGTTGTCTTTCAAGAAATCAGGAAGGCCAGCCGCCTAAGACGTATCACTCTTCACCACTGCAACTGCATTTCTGAGCATTTCTGAGAACATCGATTTGATGCGTCATCTACTGTACTTGGCACCCATTGACTTCTTTTTATTCCCGTACGTAAAAAATAAATAAATATTAATATTTTTTTTTGTTCTCTAATCCCGAAATATAAAAGGCAACCCTAGTTTATACATAAATGATCAGCATGATGTGCTGAATCGATTTATCCATGTGCGTCAGTCTGTCTGTATATACGCCAACTAGTCCCTCAATCTTTGAGAAATAGATCTGACATTTCGCACACGTCTTTTTCTCACTCCAAAAAGCTGTTCATTTGCCGCAACCGCCGATATCAGAGCAATATACAAGTAGCTGCCATACAAACTGAATAATCGGAATCATGTGCTTATATGGAAAACTTTTACATTTGACAAGATATCTTCACGAAATTTGGCATGTATTATTATCCAAACAACGGTGAAATCTCCGCAGATAGATTATCCGCGATTAGATCGGATCACAATAGCATATAGCTACCATACAAACTGAACGATCAAAATTAAGTTTCTGTAACGAACAATTTGTATTTGTGAAGGCACCGAATAAGTGCAACTGAATTTATCGTTTTTTCTTGTGTTATAATATTTTACAAAAGGATTTATAAGTGGATAATTCTCAGTTAAAGTCTATATTATGCAGAATAAAAGATATTAAACTAATGTGACAAAGTATTAATGTACTTTCCATTTATTTTTGTATTTTTCATTTCTCAAGAAACGCATTAAAAAATTAACTGAAAATTCATATGGTAAATGAAGCTATATTCGAACTCGACGAATTGCCTATATATCGTTATTTTTCTATATACCGAATACGTCAACGTGTCACTTATATGCAAAATTTTTGCACTAATAACAAAAATATCCGCAACAAATATTTTGAAATTCGCTAACGTCACGATTTCAAGCACAACGGTATTTTTTCAAAATCATGATTATCTCACCAATTTATCTTGTATTTTCTGAAAATTTAACAGCTATAACCGTAAATTGGCATACATGTAATTGCTTGTAGGTAAGTGTATATAATATTTATATTTACTTTTTTACCTTTCCATTTACAAATGACCCAAATATGCAACAGCAGGCATAATAGCCTTCAAAAGCGAAATTGTGACATAAATACATACTATCAAAATCCCACAATCATTATACATACCTATACCTTACCCATTTATACTCGTATTTATGTGGGTGCATAAATACATACTTGTATATGTAAAATATATATTTCTGTTGGTTAAAATGCTAGTTGCTAATACATAATATTCCTCGAAACGCAAATAATTTTCAGATATAAAATTTTTAATTTCTGCTTTTTTACAAGTTTTCGATTAGTATAAT